CACGACTTGGCAATTTGAAGAACGCTCTCCTAAATGGGATGCCGAAATTGTTACCTAAAATAGGAAAGATTCCAACCAGACGCGTTTGCAGTCGTCATCTGAATGTAGCGACATCAGCACACATGCTTATCAGCATCAACGCTGAGCGCATCATTATCAACGCAAACGGTAATGCATCAGCAGTAGATTCTGCCGGTTGTCATGGTACAGTAGAGGGGTATGCCGGCAAGAAAATTACACACAAAGCCCAAGACTCTTGGAAAACTGCCCAACACAAGATGTGTGTACCTTCCGTCCGTCACTAATATGCACCACCGTGGCCTACCTCATCATGCCCAATATCGAAATCGGCCTCCAGCCACGTCGTATAGTTTTCCAAATCACTTAGTTTATTGCAATAGTCTCCACCGAAAGAGTCGGCTTCAACGATCACACTGCATCGTTTGCGCTGGCTTGGCCACGTGCTGCGTACGCTAGTCGACCGACCTCCTTGAAGGGCTCTTTTCGCACAACCACGTGAAGGGTGGAAGAGAGCCAGAGGCGGTCAAACAATGACTTGGCAGCGAAGTATCAAGGCCATTACAAGCAACCTTAGCTGCGCTGGTCACTGCTGTCTTCCTGGATGGGGACTCCGAGACGGTCCATATCAATGGTTAGAGACATTGTCAGACATGGCCCAGTCGCGCCCCCAATGGCGCTCGTGCATCCAAGCCATTGCCTTCAATGCATAGCTCTCTTCCAAATCCCCCACTTCGCAGCCCACTGACAGTGCTGGATTTATGCACCAATTTTTTAGCTCCCGCATGCAATGCGCAGCTACCCACCCCCCTAAATCATCGGTGAACGAAACTGCGGCAGCTACAACCACTGTACGACGAGTGCGCTGTTATCACAGCTGACAATCAGGATGATGAACGATAATACTGATTGCAGAAACATTCAAGGGGCGATCCAAAGTACACACTGAGATTCCGCTCTGGTCCTAAACGTGCACACCCATCTTGATGTTGTTTCAAGTTCTTTTTTGGTGATTACCTAGCCAGAACTACCTCTGGGTCACTGAGATAAGAACCCGGTTGCTTCTTTCAGTATCTTTAAGAATTGCCCGAAATATCAGAGTCAGAGATGTTGAGCAATAAAGTACCTTGGATACTGAAATATTGCGATATCTTTTCTTTATCAATTTAAGAATGAATTTAAAGCTTTAGTATAATTTCAGTTTCATGCATCTTCAGCTAAGACCAGTAAACTTCTAATACTCAAGTTAACATTAGAGAGGTGACAGTCTGGAATGTGCACAGTTTTGAATATTGGTTTATGCCACTCCTATCTCACAGCGTTTTTAAAGGCAGGAGAATTACTGCATAAGCATTACTGGTAGTGAAGTCAATCGGTTTTCGGTCCTGCTAGTGCAGAATATAGTCAACTCCGAGTACCTAAAAACAGGCAAGAAGTTTATGTCCCCATCAGCAAGTCAGCGTAGGGCAATTAGACTTGTGCGTACCTTAAAGAACTTCGTTTGACAAAGGCTGGCACAAGAAACGACATGTTCTGGAGCACGCCGAATACCACCACTACGAAGATATCGTTTGCGTATTCAACCAGAAGTTGAGACACATTCAGTTGAAGTACATCATGAACGGGAGATTCAGTTGAGTCTCTCCTGAACACCAAATTGATACGCAAATGAGTGTGTTTGTTGCTGAACTTTCTTGGAACACGTCAGCGAGGGTCACCGAACGAGACCCAGAGGGCTGTGTCGAAGCTCGGTCCACTAAAGATTGGTGAGTGGGAACACGAGGGGCTGAGCTCAAAGGCCACGTCGACATCAACCAGTCAGAAAAAATCGTTCGGCTGTACCACTCTTCCGGTGCCTAGCTGCCATGCCACCCGAAGGAAGTACGAGGGCTGAGAAACTGCCAGGTTACCCAAGCCTAGACAGGGGAAGTCTATAGGCGGAGGTGGGATTCGAACCACGGACCTTCCTGTCAGTAAATTCGCGCTCTTACCACTTGGGCCGTCTCGTCCCCAACAAGTCAGAAAATCAGTTAACGAGCCAGCCAGTAAAATCGCCCACTCAAACAAACCATAACTGGAGGTTGGTGTCGACCAGCAGCACGTATGTTACCGCACGCACACCTCCACTCACCGCACAACCACAGAATTACCGCTACGGTCCGTCCCACAAAAATGTTTGCAGCCAACTTACCTAGCTCAGCCAACGTATCAACATCCACCCATGTTGCCGGTGCTGTCGAAATTCTAAACCACATATCTCATTAAGGGCTTTTACGCATCGGTGAAGGCGTGTAAGCAAACGTCGCTAGGCCATTTGACTGTCAGTCGTCTGACCGAAAGGCCTTATGCTCCTCGGTGCCTACTAACAATACACAAAACAACACTTTTCCAAATCCACGAGATCCTTTCTATATAGGAGCTTTTAACGTCCGTACTGACCGAAAACCTTATGCTCCTCGGTGCCTACTAACAATACACAAAACAACACTTTTCCAAATCCACGAGATCCTTTCTATATAGGAGCTTTTAACGTCCGTACTCTATGTCAAATCGGCAAACAGGCAATGCTTTCTGAGATCTTAAACTCCCTTAAAACTGATGTATGCTGCCTCCGAAACACCCAAACAAGACCCGAGCGTGGTTATGCATCTCAGAACGCCAAGGATGAACTCAGCTCTTTCACATTTCTCCCTCCGTGTGTCCGGTGACCCAGAAGCGATGACTCGTGGAATATGTGGCGTGAGAGTTGCACTCAGCCCCAGAGCTGAACGCGCTATGCTGGATTGAATCCCAGTGAACAATCGTCTTTGCGCCGTCCAGTTATCCAGTTCAATCAAGCTCAATGCCCCCGGCACAAAAAGCGGCGCCTGTTTGTTGTGTCAGTTATGCCCAACGGACTGTAGTTCTGATGCGGAGAAGGATACTTTCTATCGAGAGCTATCCGGGCTCATTCGTCAGGCAAAAAGCACTGACATTGTGATCCTTGCAGGCGATTTGAATGTTCAAGTAGGTCGTCTGAGCTCCTTGGAATCACAATTGGGTGGTCGATTCGGAGTCGATACTCGCCGCACAGACAATGGAGATCGACTTCTTCAGTTGTGTGCTGGTCATGAACTGTTTTGGCAAGTACAATCTTTCGCACCGGGTAACCTGGCGGCCACCAACTGCAAATCAACCGTGGACCCAGTTGGACCATGTGGCCATCAGTCACCGGTGGAGAGCTACAATTCAAGACTGCCGTTCCTTCTGGGGCACACCACTTGATTCCGATCACGCAATGGAGCGTGCACATCTGACGGTTCGTTTACCTTCAGGCCCTCAAAAGTCATCAAGAAGCATGCCAACCCACTGTCTTCGAAGAACTAACATAGCTCAGCAGTATCGATCTGAGCTAGCCCAACAACATTCCACAGTAAAAGAGTACTGTGGTAGCAGTGAGCATGCAGATGAAGCGTGGCAAAATGTGAAAGGAGCTATACTAGCGGCGTTCAATGCTGTCTTCCCAAATTCCCCAATTCGACCACAAGAACACTGGATGTAGTCGAGATTGCTATCCATGATTGATGCCACGATAGCCATACAAGCAGGCAACGAGTTCGACGGCGCACACAAATACCTCAAACGCCAAATAGTAAAAAGTCTAAGGAAAGACCGGGAGCTCTGATGGGCATTGAAAGCTCAGGAGATGGAGAAAGCCTTTGCTAGGGAA